ATGAGCAAAGGTGAAGCGATAGGAGAGGGGCGAGACACCACCCTTGCTGTCCTTTGTATGTCCAAGGTACTCCGCCACCCTCTCAGTTTTTGATCCGAGTTTGTTATCCCTATCTACCTCTCGGCTTTGCATGCTGCGTACTGCGTGTGCGTGTCGCGTGTCCATGTCGCTGGCTGGTTGCTTATTGTGTTGACGACGAGACACATGCTAAGAGCATGGAGAAAACCATGCACGAGGATTTCTACCTGACCTGAGGGACCCCCGAAACCGCTTCTACTGTTGAAGTGAGGGTGAGTGTTCTCAGTAGCGAGTTGCAGATCTGATCACCGTCACCAGTTGATAGCGTTCACAAAAAAAAAGAAAGAAAGAACTGGCGAGCCTCAAGTTGACCCCCCGCTTCGGGAGCAATTGGGAGGTTTTGCATTTCGAACGGCACCGGTCCGTTCTGTGTTCAGGAGGAAGTAGAGTTGTGCCCGCTAAAAGGGGAGAATCAGACGTGCCGGCATTCCCGCATTGTGTGCGGGCGTTTGGGGGGAAAGTCAAACGTGCGTGAAGAAATAGCTCAGAGAAAGCATCCTGATGCAACGGTGCGCAGTGCGTGCGTTCCTCTGCACCGTTCGACCACAGTAGCCGACTGACGAGAGCAATAGACGTGCGTGCGTGAAATAAGGAGAGGGGAGGCGGAGGAAGGTGAATCCCTCCGCCGGATGGGCGCCTTGTGTTCATCAGGTGTTGTCATGGATGAGGACGAGCAGCGAGAGCTGGAGTGGCTGCGGTGGGAGCTTCAGGAGGTCGGAGAGGACGGAGGACCACCAGCAGAGGAGCAGCAACAACACGAGCCAAGCTACCACAACAGCACACCCAACAACACTGGTTACCCACAGCACTTTCTCCATCCCCCTCTGCCCCCGTCAGCACACCAGCAGCCTGCGTTCCCTCCGTTCCTGTCGCCTCACACGGCGCCGCGCTCACCCCCAGGCGGTGAGAATGGTACCTTTCCCGTGTACTGCGCCCGCGACGCGCCAGGAGTGCCCATCGCTGCTCCTGTAGCTGCTCACGGCTTCGTCCCACCTCTGTCCAACCCCTTCGACCGTCGCGGAACAGAGGAGCGTGCGGAACAGAGGAGCGTGCGGAGCCCCCTGCCAAGCAGCGACGTCAGGCAAGCCGCGTTGCCGCGCTTCCACCCCTGAGGACCTTGGCCGATCACTCACCCATTGGCGGCACGGACACCACTGAGTCTGCGGCCTCCTCATCGGCAGCGGCGGTGGGCGGGGCTTCTCAGGCGCCTCGCTTCTTCTCAGCGCAGCTGAGCACCACCCAGACGACCGAGCAGATCCCCCATGTCGCTGTTCAGCCATCGGGTTTCTCTCTGTCGGCGATGCCCGCCGGGAGCGCAGTTGGTGCTGAGTCCGCAGCGGGCGTATCTGTCGCGATGGGAGATGGGGAGGGCGGATTGGGCGTAGGGGGCGGCAGGGGGACATCGGGCAAGAGGAAGCGCGGATCGCCTGTTCCATCCCCTGTTCCATCTCTGCGCCTGCCGGAGTTGCGCGGGCCAGAAGCATCGTCGACGGGCTCGAGGGCGGGCGGCGTTCACCAACCGATGACGGTGAGCGCGGTCTCGTTTCCCCGGGGGCCTGCGTTTCCCCGGTCGACTGCTCCGATTGGCTCGGGCTCTAGTTTGATCCTGCCGCCATACCCCGACTCGAAGAGCCTGATTCGTCGGCGGCCCGACCGCATTTCGCAGCCCCAGGGGCGTTCTGACGGCACGCGGGGAGGGCCGAGTGGACAGGGAGGGTCCGCGGCGCAGGAGAGAGGCCAGCCCTCAACAACACCCGGTGCGTTCAACCCGTTGTCTAACTTGTCCCACCCCCCCACGCCACAGCAGCCCCCTTCTGTGCCGTCGAGTCCGCCCGTGGCCATCGACATCGACGTGACAGAGAGCGGAGGCGGGCACTGGCTGTAGATTAGCGACCGCAGGGGTGGCTGGCTTGCACTTGTCTGTTTGTTTGTCCTTCGGGAGGATGCATGTATGTGTACGGGAATGGCGTGAGGGTATTTATGATATGTATGCTCGGGTGCATTTTCTATTGACGAATAGACGCACACCGTGCCCATCAGTGACTGAAATGGATGCTCCGTACGGCTGGGGTGTTTTTCGAATGAGTGACTCTACCTACTGAGTGTTTGTTGTGTGCATCTGCATGTTGTGTTGGACCAAGCTGGGCTACGGCTGTGGCAAAGACGTGACGTACCATCTCATTCAAAAGGAGCACAGTCATCAGTGTCTGTATTCTGGGTATCGCCAGACAGTGAGTGAATATAACCAATAGAGTTGACGGAGTTAACCAAAGTCGACATGCATACATACCACTTGCTCCCACATCTCGGACATCCTTTCTTAGTGTCTCCCAGTGGCATATAACTGATCGTGTTCTTGTGAAGAAGGGCGCCTTCGTTGTGACGGGAGGGACAGAGAATGCTGGCGTGGTTCACAGTATTGTCATCTGACCTCGAGGATGGATTTCCACTCTGCCTGTGTCTCAGTCGAGCACTCCACCCGTTTCACGGTGCCATTACGCGGGTACGCAAGGGTGAAATCGTTCAAGTGTTCTCGTTCGCTGGCGGACCTCTTGTGGCTCTGAACGGGCTCACTCGTAGTCTTGTGGTGTGGGTGTGTAGATTTGTTGCGGCAGGTGTTGAGGCAGGTGTGAGGAGGATGGGTCAGACCGGTAGAACACGCTGGACATAACGCTGCTGCGTCTGTGCTGCTGCAGATCTTCCGAGATGACGGAGAAGGGGTTTCGGATAGTGACCGACAAGAATCTGGGTAACAACAGCGTCAGTCTTGGCCAGTCTGAGGTGTTTCTGATGGCTTCTGTGTTGCTCTGCTTGTCTAGGACAAGCGGAAGCTAGCGAGTTTCCTGTTGTCTGTGAGAGTTGTCTCGGCGACAACCCATACGTGCGAATGGTACGCCAGAGTCTCAAGTGAGGGAGAGGACGGGGAATGAACGCACTTCTCCGCCTACGCATGTGCAGATGAAGGGCGAGGCCGACAAGGAGTGCGAAGTGTGCCAGCGACCCTTCACGAGCTTCAGGTGGAAGCCTGGCGCCAAGGCGAGGTACAAGAAGACCATCGTATGCCAGACGTGTGCCAAGCTCAAGAATGTCTGCCAAGTTTGCCTCTTCGACCTTGAATACGGTGCGTGCAAGAGAGAGAGAGAGGGAGGGAGGATATCAGACTATCAATCCCCCCCTCACTGTGCGGCACTCTGTCTGCCTGTGGGTGCAGGTTTGCCCGTCCAAGTACGTGACAAGTTCCTAGAGGACCAGCAGAAGGTGGAGCTGCCTGACTCGGGAGTCAACAGAGACTACTTCGCGAGCCAAATGGATCGCATGGTGAGACGTAAAGAAGCGAGCTGCACATTGGTAGGACAGTTTCAGTCATGCTGTTGCGGCTTTTAGACTGAGCAAGATGCGTTGCCTTACGGCAAGGCGCCTCCTCACCCAGCCCTCCAGCGATTGGCAAGGCTAGAACCATATTACAAGGTGAGCACAGAGAGGCACTGCAGTGGTCCAATGCACCTTCCATCTTTTCCTGTGGATGCACAGAGAAACCGCGCTCGCGTGTGTTCATTTTGGTTGAAAGGAGAGTGCAACAGAGGCGATGAGTGCCCGTACAGGTGAGCAAGAAGCCGCTGGAGAAGCCCGTCCATGATTGTGGAGTTTTGTCGATTTTTGTCAGGCATTCGCAAGAGGAGGGTGATCCTGAGCTCCAGCACCAGAACATCAAGGACAGATATCTGGGAGAGAACGATCCTGTGGCGAGGAAAATACTGAGAAACGCGGCGGAGTTCAACACCCTGGTATTTAACGGGATTTCTTGCCCTTCTAGATTGTTAACTTTTTGTTGCATTTGTGTCTGGTCTGCAGACGCCGCCAGACGGTCAGGGTAGAGGTTTTTCCGCGTGTGATATCGAATCTGTCCCTTTCTCTTTCACAGATGGACGCATCACAACGCTCTTTGTTGCCGGTCTTGATGCGAGTGTCACGGAGAGTGACATCAGGGACGTGTTCTATCCTTTTGGAGAAATCAGATCCATCAAGATGGTGCCCAGACAGGTAGGTCGGCGACCCAGAGATCGCAGGCTGATGGAACACTCACTCTTTCAACTCATGCAGCAAGCCGCATTCGTGACCTACACCACCCGGAAGGCAGCAGAGGATGCCGCAGAGAAGCTGTTCAAGTCACTCACCATCGGGGTAGCCCATGCATTCCACTCTAAGAGGATATTCCATTTGTACTGCCTGACCTGTCGCTGCAGGGTCGTCGCGCCAAGCTGATGTGGGGCAGGCAGTCATCATCTGATGCGACGGCTCCTGCTGCTCCTCCCGCTGGCTACCCGTCTATCCCGCAGCCTGGAATTGGACAAAGGCTGTATTATCCCTCAGCAGATCCTGCCACCTATGGTGGAAACGCCCCGATACAGCGCTAAGTGATGCGTTATTGTCTTTTTTCCTACGATGGTGGCCATGAACGAGAACTTGTGGCGTCTTCATGGATATGCGTGACTCTTCTTTTCCCGTACTCATGGTCGCTCATGGTTTTCGAAAAGGATTCCACATCACGGACTGTGAATCCGTTTTGAACAAGAAAATGAGCAAAGATGGTGTGCCGGGCTGCGGGAGCCAATCGTGTCGTAATGACATACGACAAGAAATCAAAGGACAGTGATCTTAGGTGTGTCCCGCACACCATGACATTGCTTGACGAGACACGAGACAGCATCACTGCTTCTACATAGGCGCGTGACGTTGTTGTGAAACAGAGGGTAATGGTCACTACATAGCGCGATGACGGGAGTGTCCACCACTCCCTCATGAATGTGTGCCGAGACAAATCAGCAACTTACGATTCCAGTGACACAACAGCAATGACTGAAAGACAATTGAATAGACATAACTATGACATCATCTCGGCCACTCGTTTTCGTGCGAGAGCCTGGGCTCCGGCGGTCTTCTCGAACGTTCGAGCGCCTGCTCGCATGAACAGGAAAGCACAAGCAAGCATCTCATGAATGGAGCCTGCCATCGCCGCCTGACCTTGAGTCTCTGGTCGAGACTGTCCATCCTCGTCAGCAGCTCCGTACACGCTTCCCTTTCTCGCAGCCTCCTGCTGAGTGTGGCAACGTCGCTCCTCAAGCGGTCGATCTCACCTTGCTGCTTCTGAATTGTTCGACTGCGATCCTGGAGTGGACATGGGATACGAAGGGGTACTGGTATCAGGCTACTGACACACCGTACCTGATAGGCTTGAGTCAACAAGGCGATCAGATCCTGTTTGATGCAAATAGCAACACACAACAGGAAACGAGTACAAATGTCTGAGTCAATCGCGGCGTGCGTACTGTAAGGCGCAAAAAATGGGCTTGGGTCCCTTCGCTGAGAGCGTGGACCGATACGATCTCCGACAAGACAGGCTTCACATCCTGTGGACGCCAGGACACGGCGAAACCGCGGGAAGAGGTCTCTAGCCACCTCTGCAGGATTTCCAGCGTACCTGCGCAACGAATCCGAAGTTCTTGCCCCCTCCGTGCTTCGCCTGCAGCACGACCAAGGAAGTTTGGTTCAACACAGAAGCACATGTGCGTTACCTGATCCTTAAATTCAAACTTCACGGGCTTCAAAGCGCTTAAAACCCCGTGAGCGTTAGCAAATAACAGGTCAGTAGCATTCGCCCCTCGCGGCTGGTGGGAAGCCCTCATCTGCAGATATCGTGACAGGGGCTGGATATTCGTCTTCAACCTTGCATCGGAAAGCAAGCTACACCCTCGAAGCACGCAATTCGGGGAGTTGCCAAAGTCGACGGAACCAAAGGCATTTAAGGCCGCACCAGCGTCTATCAACAGCTGCGAACCAAGGGTCATTGACAGCGTGCCAGCAACAACGACGTTATTGAAAGTCGCCACATCTTGCACAGTGAGTGACGACCCGAGACAAGCAAATGACCTCACGGAGAGGGAGCTGCCGATGGTGGCCATGTCTCGAAGTGACAGGGAGCTGCCGAGGATGACGTGGTCGAAGACGGACAGAGAGGCCCCCAAACGCGCCACGTTGTGAACCGAAAGCGACGAACCGAGGCGAGCGAAGGATCGGACCGACAAGGACGACCGCAAGTCGGCAAAGCTGCTCACTGACAAGCTGCTGCCCAGCTCAGTCGGACCGCTCACAAAGAGGGAAGACGCCAAAGCAGATTGGCCGTCGACCGAAAGAGAGGAGCCGAGCTGAAGCGGGCCGTCAACAGCCAATCCGCCGCTAATGACGCCGTCTTTGTGGACGGACAGCCGATCGCCCACATACGTGAATGATCTCACGGAGAGAGAGCTGCCGATGGTGGCCATGTCTCTCACTAACAAGCTGCTGCCCAGTTCACTCGGACCGCCCACAGAGAGGGAAGACGCTAGCTCAGATGGACCGTCGACTGACAGCCTTTCCCCGACCTGCACACATTGCAGTTAACAGACCAATGTGTTAACAGACCATACAGCCCAGAGCATGTCTGAGATCTGCTGGTCGTCGCCGCCTTACTCTGAGCCACTGATCAAGGGACAATGAGTAGTATTTGGGAAGGTCCCAGTACTCGAGGAACGCACCACCATATGGTGTCAGTTTGAAGACATCTTTCATCTCCGCAAACGTCGAGTTGTACACTTTGATGGTGAGTTGGGGAGTGTTATCATACTCAAAAGACGATTCGAGCGTCGGTTGCGTTCGATGGGTCCCACAGAAGCGAGACAGACTTGTCTAGATACACAGCCGAGCTGAGACTGAGACTCCCAAGGATCGACGCATTGTGGTGGACCGTCAGCTGACTTTCGAGCTCGGTCGGCCCGCCAACAGACAGGGAAGACGCCAGCTCAGATGGACCGTCGACTGACAGCCTTTCCCCGACCTGCACACATTGCAGTTAACAGACCATACAGCCCAGAGCATGTCTGAGATCTGCTGGTCGTCGCCGCCTTACTCTGAGCCACTGATCAA